AATCGACGCACCAGCCCAACCACAAGATCCCCCTTTTTTTTGTACTTAACACAGGATTGTTTTTATATAGTACCACCTAGATAAGATAGGGATTTGATCATTTATTTATTATTCACCGTTATTTGTATACATTACAAACGAAATCAACGGCTTTTTTTTTTAATTTTTTCCTTGCCGAGTTGATTTTCAGAAAACACATTCGCGTTATTTTTGTTTTCACTTGCTTTTAAAGTTTTTCAATTTATCTCGCGCCGCCACAACCGCTCGGACCAATTTTGAATTTTATGTGTGCAGTGTGACCGCGAAACTATCGATAAAATATACCGTCAGACCCTCAAAAATATACCAAAATATACCTTCTCATTTTAAAAATATACCGTAAATCTTAAATCATTTTTTTATGTTCGATTTTGATGTTCTTTTCGATATTACTAGCTAGTTAGAAGTCTACGCGCTAAAACTATAATTTTATCCGATTTATCAATAAATTCTCCACAAGATTGGCTAGTTTTCACGACATCCTTTTGTTTGAATGTTTGCAAATGAAGTTTGAAAATAAAAAAATTAATACAAAATAAATTAGCATAAAACGTAAGACTGCTACTGTTTACGACATTGTATTTGATGTATCAATTCACCATAAGCTAAGTTATTTTTCATGACCTCATTTTGCTTTTATTTAATTTTTTGTTTTTTTGTTATTTAATTGCTACAGCGAAATTGGTTGGTTGGTTTGGAATATATGCTAATATGAACTTTGCGCCGAATTAATGGCATAAATGGAAGTATGGAGATCCACAGAGCGCTGAGAAAGTTGCTGAAATTTCTTCAGAGGAGAAGCCTGGATCGTTCAGGAGCTGAAGCAAATTTGGGCAGTAGTGCAAAAGTGTACATAAAAAACGGAGAGTTGGAGATATGGAATATGATGAAACTCATTCAGAAATTAGGTCAAAAACGTTGCTAGCCATTAAACTATACGTGTACATATATATTTCGCCGGGTGCTGGGGATCTTGGTGAGTTTGAAGGACCACAGGGACGACAGGATTAGGCATAGCCTCAAATCCGAAAAAAGAGTCCGCTAGAAAAATCAGATGCAACATTCGTATGAATTCGATTAGACATATTTGCGAGCAAAAACTATTTGCCAGAAAATGGACGGCGGGCCGTACTCGGATCTCAACTTGTTGATTGAAATCCAGTTCTCATATTCGCTACATTTTCAGTCAAGGATAATATTCCTACGGAAAAAAAGAAAAAGGCAAAAAGTTGAAACAAATCTTACATATAAATGAGAATATATGGAGTTTTTTTTTCATTTTAGTTTGATTAATTTTTAATTTGTATTCCGTTACGTGACTAAGTACTGCTCCACCAATCCCAAAAAAAAACTGTAGAAGTTCTTCTCAGACATATGCAAATACTCAAAGAAAACTGATGGCCATTGAGTCATACATACATATCTATAGCTAGTATGCTACAACTATGAGAAATTACTTTCCCGTTTTGTTTCTTTCCCGCATTTAAAATTGGACTTACTCGTGGTATTTGGCGCTTTTTTCGTTGATCGTTCTACTCCTCCGCTAATACAAGAGCCACCAATCAAACAATACGTTTTTATTTCGGAAAAGCATGCAGCTCACGACTATGGTCACACTCAAGCGCTTGATAAATAGAATGCACATTTTGCTAGCAAAGCTGTTTTCGAATCCGGCTTTAACATTAGCATTTAAGTTTGTTGGCTTGAGTTATTATTAATACGTAATTAATATACAAAAATATATACTTAATACTTATTTATATATACCTATACATCTTAATAACAACATAAATGTAATTTGGAATTTTCGTACTAAAATCCAAAATATATTATGTTTGTAATGTTTAGTAATATTTTTAATATTTTTCTTATTACACTACTCGACAAAATCGTGTTTTTTCCAAGAAACCAAACCTACTTTTTCTGATAGATTTGGAGCATTTAAATTGATTAATAAATTATGTTGTTTTTTCTATAGCCCAGTACTCAGACACACAAACAATTCTTGCGATAGAATCAGGGATGATTTTCCAATACAATCGATAGGAAGTCAACCCTGTCTTTTGTAACAGAACATTTTTTCGCATGTATTTCACAGTTGAATTCTCAGATCAGCAGAAAATTTACCTGAAAACTTAGCCTATTAAGTTCTTCCATCGCTAAGCGAAAGATAGATTGGGTTTATCTTTTGACGTCAGAATCATGACACAAGGACGGAAACAATCAAACCCAGAGCAAGAGGGCTTGAAAAGAGCATTAAATGAAGACGATTTAAAATTGGATTTTCAACCCGATCTAAGATACCTCTGGAAAATGCATTCTGTTATTTTATGTTAAATAACAGAATACAAATAAACGAGAAAGGACGTGCGAGACGCTTCTTACGCGGTACTCGAAGAGTAAATAGGGTATATTGTATTTGTGCAGGCGGGCCTAATTTTTTAAATACACTGGTTTCACGACTCGGGTATTGATGCTGATGAAGAATATATACACTTTATGGGGTCGGAAACGTTTCCTTCTGTGTTTTACATACAACCGTTATTCCGCAAAAATACAATATACCTTATTTACTCTTCGAGTAAAGGGTATAAAAATAAAATCACACACGATATACTTTTTTGGACTTTTCCTGAGTTTTTAAAGTCAAAATTTCGTGAAACCCATCAATAACAAAACCACGAAGCAAAGCCAAAATTCTAATTTTGTTTCATTGAAAAACCAGATACATGTTGAAGTCTAAAATTGTCAATCAGAGCGAAATCAGGTGTTCCCTAGGAAAACTGGTGGATAAATACCCTCAAAAGTGCACTCGGAGGGGGGCGAGAGTTTGGTATTGAACCTGTTTTGCTGAACCAAATTATGGGGACGGTTTAGGAACTGAAGGTTTAGGATCGAGGCGGAGGCGGACAATAGGGGTTCGAGTTTGCCTTTCTACCAGCTGGAAACAGCACATGGGTGTATTCCGGGAACAGGGGTGAGTTCGGAAACCTTACTTCCTGTTAGTTCTCATGTCTGGTGGCGAGGTGTTGCTAAGCTCGCGCCTGCTCTTAGTCCAGTTTCAAGCGAAGGAGATGCCCTTCAGCCCACGATAATCGAAGCTCATTCTATTTTCACGATTTCTACGCTTTCATATGTGAGCTAACGAGACGGGGTAGTTTCTTTGCTCTTCGTCGCTAGTCCAAATTTACCTTGCAGTCCGCCAATCCAATGTATGAGCGTTATCCATCTTACTATTATATTTTCTTGGCCTGTATCCAGTTTATATAAGATACATAGTGTACTTTAATATTTTTTAGTTGTCTCCATAATGTCTCTTACTTCATTTTTCCATCCAGTCAATCGGAAAATAGTTTTTGAAGAGGCAGATATTTAATTAATAATTCGTCTCGAAAATCGTGTTCTTGGCATTCTAGATTCCTACGCGCACGTATGTGAGGGGGTTGGCTTTTTTACTTTTCCTCGCTTTTCGAAATTTTGGCTGCAGTCTGCCAAGTCAGTGAATGAGCGTTATCCATCTAATACCTTTATTGTGTTTGGTGACGGTGTATATTAAGTGTGTTTATTAAGAACCGTTCTGAAACCATGCCATTGTTATCATTCCGTCGGGAATCAAGAACCCTGCTTGTGCATTCATAAAAGAGCGTTCCATAAGAACCCATATAAATACATACAATAATTATACATTTTCTTATGCATTTCTTTTATTAAAGCTTAGTTTTAAAAGCTTTCAAAAGTGGTAATTTTTCTTCCCATTCCGGCGGCTTTTTACCATTTTTCCATTTTATTAGGTCTTTATTCCCTGTTTGCTAACCTAGCTTTGCCCGGCGTAATAAAGAACAAATTTATATTTTTCGAGCTGCAGCAGAGTACATCCAGGCGTACAGCCGCTAGCAAACAGTTTTTGCTCAAAAACATCTATTATAAATTCCCTACGCTTATCATCCCGTATTTTTCTAGCGGCAAGTTTTTTCGGATCTGAGTACTATGCTCCTTTGAGCATTCTTTTGAATATATTTTATTTTATTCAGATATTTCTATTCAGATTTTAAATATAAATCACTGTACTATTACGAATTAAGGCTGTGGAACTATGCAATACATGGTACAATAAAATATGAATGAATTCAATAATATTAAATCATAGGGGATTTATTTTCAAATCGCTCAGTGTACTTAAGGCTTAAGTCATTTAGGCATTATGCAACACTGTTTCCCGTATTTCCTTCTTTTGACAACCACAGTCAACGTGATACAGCCTTTTCCGGTTAATTCGTTGAACATGGCAGTCGGCAAAAATAAAGGTCTTTCCAAGGGAGGAAAAAAGGGTGGTAAGAAGAAGGTAGTAGATCCCTTTTCACGCAAGGACTGGTACGATGTCAAAGCACCGAATATGTTTCAAACCCGTCAAATCGGTAAAACGCTTGTCAACCGCACCCAGGGACAAAGAATTGCCTCGGATTACTTGAAGGGTCGCGTGTTCGAAGTGTCTCTGGCTGATCTGCAGAAAGACATCGATCCTGAGCGTTCGTTTCGTAAGTTCCGTCTTATTGCTGAAGACGTACAGGACCGCAACGTTCTGTGCAACTTCCATGGAATGGATTTGACTACCGATAAATACAGGTAATTGCATTTTCCGTGTTAATGCTCAACAAGCAAGCCATTCACATATCCATATATATATGTATGTAAGTACGTACATATGTATGTATGTACATATACATACGTATGTACATATCCATATATCCATATCTTTTAGCTGAAGAGTTTTTTGTCTATAACTTATGTAGATTGTAGCTTATTTGACAACTAAATGTTCTGCGCATTAAAATAAAGTAATGCATAATGAAAAGATTTGGCACACAATGGCCAAAGGTTCATACAAGCAGATAGTTATATATCTACATAAGAATAGATGGGCATAGGGCTAAACGACACATAGATACACATATATCCAATAATCTACACAAATGTACGTTTTCTTTTGGATAGGTCCATGGTGAAAAAGTGGCAAACACTTATTGAGGCCATAGTTGAGGCCAAAACCGTTGATGGGTATCTGTTGCGTGTTTTCTGCATTGGATTTACTGCAAAAGACCAACAGTCTCAGCGTAAAACTTGCTATGCGCAACAGTCTCAGGTCCGTAAGATTCGCGCACGTATGACTGACATCATAACTAATGAAGTCAGTGGGGCTGATCTGAAGCAACTAGTTAACAAATTAGCTCTGGACTCAATTGCAAAAGATATTGAAAAGAGTTGTCAACGCATTTATCCTTTACATGATGTTTACATCCGTAAAGTGAAGGTGTTGAAGAAGCCTCGTTTTGACGTATCCAAACTTCTGGAGTTGCATGGTGATGGTGGCGGAAAAACTACAGAAGCCGTCGTATCTGCTGAAGGCGCTGTGGTCGACCGTCCCGAAGGTTACGAACCACCCGTACAGGAGGCAGTCTAAGCTGGATATGCATTTTGTTTATTGTATTGCATTCAGAGAGCATATAATATATAACTCTACGTTTTGTAGAACATCATTTTTGTGTTTTAGCTTCTTGGTTCCAGGGGGTTTTATTTTTAATTTTAGGGGAGTCCGGAATTGGAATACTGCCGTTAACGTTTTACCAAATGTAATACAAATGGTATCCTACATTTAGAGCATGGTATGTAAGCTTGAAACAATAAACCTAAATGGTGTAAACCATATAACCATATGTTTTCCACATCTTAGATTACATGATAACTTGAGGATAGCTAAAGGTACACAAGCTGTGCAACAGGTAAATATCAAATATAAGATTCGGTTTGCAAAATGATGTTTAATTTTTCGTCTCTGTCAGTTTACTGATGACAATTCATGGCTGATTGCAAAAAAAAAAAACAAATAGATTGCTGTATAAACATATGAACTTACTTTTGAACATCTAAGTTTTCAATTTTTGCAGACAATATGAAGCAGTAAACGACCATGACACACGGAGGTCGGATCCAATTGGACCGCTAATTGGTAAATGTATGAATATACTTGCATGAATCTTACAAGTTCCACATGTTTTAGGTGGTTTCCCTTCGATAGTAGCTAACTTTTAGATGGTGCTATCGTAAGATATTGCTAAATCGCTAGATACTATCTTGCTTATTTGTCTGATAGTTTCATGTCCAAATTTACTTAGTCATATATATTATTACAACTTTCAATTTTTAGAACGGGGTTTGTTGGAATTCGGTGATTACAAAGTTAAGTAAAACATCAATACCTTTTAGCTGTGACTGAAACGCTTAATGCATTTCCAATATCCACTCATGAATTTATAGCAGAATTCAGCTACAGGCATAAGGCTTGGTGAAAGCTAAGAAAATAACTCAAAAATGATGTACTTTTTATTTGCTACTCTTGAAAAAGATGATGAAAATTGTCACCTTAGTAACTGATCTGGAAGGAAATAAAAAAAATATTGCTCTACAATACTTTAACCAATGTATTTAATATTTTCAATTAAATTCCCCCATTTAGCGCCAAAAACGTGTGGCGTAAAGACTTCTGCAAATAGTAGATGTAAATACAAAATGAAAGTTCACTCATTTTCTAAAAATAAAATATGAACATGTTAACTATAAATATACTACTTTGTTAATGGGTCGAGCGAAGCTATAAGGTACTTCTCTTGACAAGGTTTAGGTTGGTTTAATATGACGACTATATTCCGAAATTGTTTAATCAAAAAACATCAATGTTTACTTTATTAGATTGCAACACAATACTTTTTTCTTTTCAGAAAGATGGTGGAGAATATTAAATATATGAGTCTACAATATGCTAAGGAAGTCTCTCTGCTGAACTTAGATCTAATGAATTTATTGGAAGTTTAGAGAGGTGTGTATGCTATGCATGTGGTGAGACAACTACCAGTAATATTTGAGCAGGCTACATAGAAACTTATTTTTTGTTTAGAGAATTTAACAAATGAATATCGTAATATCTTCGTTCTGATTTTCCGATACAAAAGAATTGATAATTGATAGCATGATGATTTGTTTACGGATTCCCCATCATTTATCTAATAAATGAAAAGTTCCACCCACTGAAACTATATTAGAATACAAAAATTTAATTTGTTGATTTGTTTGATTTCTAATTCTTAGTTTTCTTCTGGTTTTCAGCTACATGTATTATGCCTGGAATCAAAGGATAACGCGAGTCCTATTTCAGGTGGGTACGTTAGATGATAGCCAAAAAAAAAACTCAGAAATGATGTTGTTTTTATTTGCTACTCTTGAAAAAGATGATGAAAATTGTCACCTTAGTAACTGATCTGGAAGGAAATAAAAAAAATATTGCTATACAATACTTTAACCAATGTATTTAATATTTTCAATTAAATTCCCCCATTTAGCGCCAAAAACGTGTGTCGCATTTCTGAAGACGTTTATCATCTACATTTATGTTTTACTTAAGTGAGTAAAAGATTTTTATTTTATACTTGTACAACTGATATTTTTATGATGAAACAATTACCCAGCTCGCTTCGATATTCCATGAAGAGAACTGTTCCAAATCCAACCAAATTATACTGCTGATATAAGGCTTTAACAAATTAGTTTTTTGTTCAATGTTTACTTTATTAGATTGCAACACAATACTTTTTTCTTTTCAGAAAGATGGTGGAGAATATTAAATATATGAGTCTACAATATGCTAAGGAAGTCTCTCTGCTGAACTTAGATCTAATGAATTTATTGGAAGTTTAGAGAGGTGTGGTGCTATGGTGTGGTGAGACAACTACCAGTAATAACACTACTCGACAAAATCCAACCTTTTTTCCGCTTCGAGCCAAACTGACTTTTTGATAGACTGACTAGGCTTTACATTTTTGAAAATTATTATTTTTTTTTCAGAAACAGAAATACTCTGGCAGTTTGTCGCACAACTCCACTCCAACAGGTACCCGAAACAATTAAAAGAAAGAGTATTTTGATGATATATATATAGTATATAGTAGTAATGATAGTAGATTGGTAATCTGATAGATACGGGCATTCCCTACGGAATGGCGTTTTTAGTTTTCTTTTATCTTCAAAACTGTAGGTTTGGGAGGTTTTCGCTTCAGTGAGCAATAAAGCAGCCTGGATGAAAAATTTGGTGGCTCTAGCTCTTATAGTCTCTGAGAACTAGCCGACAAACAAGACGGACAGACAGGCATGGCACTATTGATGTTGATCAAGAATATATATACTTGATGGGGTCGGAAACGTTTCCTTCTGTGCGTTACATACAACCGTTATTCGCACAAATACAATATACCCTATTTACTCTTCGAGTACCGGGTATAAAAACAAATATAAGCGGCGGGACGGGGTGGGTTAAAAGTCGGCAGAGGCAGAAGCCAAGTGAAGCAGAAGCAGTGTGAATGAGAGAACGTGAAAAGAACAACAAAAGCTGCGGGACAGGGTGGGTTTAGCCACTGGAAAATAATTTCTCCATTGTGGCTATAATAATGATCCAATCGGATCCCAATTTGGTAATCTGATAGATACGGGCATTCCCTACGGAATCGCGTTTTTAGTTTTCTTTTATCTTCAAAACTGTAGGTTTGGGAGGTTTCCGCACTTTTGTGGAGACGGAAGGGGGCGGTGTCAGTGTGAGCATATAGCAGTCTGGATGCAAAATTTGGTGGCTCTAGCTTTAATAGTCTATGAGAACCAGGCGCGCAAAAGACGGACGGACAGACAGAAACGACGCCCAATTAATGCACCTCTACATGAATGCAAAATAGAGATCACAGGATTTATTTTCTTTTGGACTTATCCCGACTTTTTAAAAAATCGGCATTTTTACATTTTAAAGCTTAACATTTTTCAAACGCTAAACTAGACCACAATGTGTTTGGACATACATTATATATGCATATTTCAGCTTTATAGAATGGCTTAGTTCATTACAATCAGATCTAAGATACTCAAGTTGTGTAAAACAGCGCTACCTCTAAAAAAGAGCGTTAAAGAAAATACTAGATTTAAACATTTTTTTAAAAAAGTTCTGACTGAAAAAAAAATTATCATCAAACCATTTCTAAACCCCATAACTTTTAGAAAAAGTTGGTCTGGATCGAAGCGTCAAAATCGTGTCGAGTAGTGTTTTTGCAAGCAAAAAACTGGGTACGAACAAGTTTAAATATAAACCTATTCTTTATAACATTCAGTTTTTACCAATTGTATTAACTGTATCATATATTAACTGTAAATAAAAATAATATATAAAAACACCTATTCAAAACAAAATAGTTTGGAAGTTTCAATATTATATTTTTGAAAATCCCGACGAATTTTTTTAACACGTGGAGGGACGTGTGACCCGCTTAGTACGTGTCACAGCTTTTATACCCGGTTCTCAGTCAGTACATACTTATGTAAATACATTCATATGTAGTGTATGTATGATACATACAGCTCACTTCCAGTCTTTCAAATTAAACAAGTGATACCTCTTTAAAAAGACTGGAGTGGAAGCAACACAAATCAGAAGAAACCCCAAGTAGTGATGGGTGAAAATATTTTCTAAAAATTAAAAAACCAAACAAAATTATCTAAAACGAGAAGGAACGTTTAAGACGCTTCTTACGCTTCACAACTTTTATACCCGGTATATCAGTAAACTACATCTGTACCTTAGCGGGTTTTTTTTTTAATTTGTATGCATGGGGGGGGGGTCATTTTCGAAATACCCTTGTAACAGTGTGAGCATGTCTGGATGCAAAATATGGTGGCTCTAGCTTTAATAGTCTCCGAGATCCAGGCGCTTAACAAGACGGACGGACAGACAGACATGTCTCAATCGATTCGTCTATTGGTGCTGATCAAGAATATATGTACTATATGGGGTCGGAAACGTTTCCTTCTCTGCGTTACATACATTCGTGATTTCGCACAAATACAATATACCCTATTTACTCTTCAAGTGCCGGGTATAAAAATCTCCAACAGAAAACTTAATTTATATTCAATATATGTATAAAAGAAAAGTTTGGACATAGCGGTATTTTTATTTTTGGAGCTTTAAAGATACCATAAAACTAATATCAGGAGGTATAATGCAATGAAAAACTAAGGTCTTAGTGCTCTTACTATTGTATTTAACCTATTTAGCTTGAAGAAGACCCTGAAAATAGATTTTGATTGAGAAAAACATTTATTTTGGAGGAGGGTCGAAGATGGTTGAAATCAAAGACTTTGATATCCTCAAAAGTTGTGAGGACTGTGTCAGTGATATAATAGTTAACAGACAACTGATAGCACATTATTTAGTTGCAAGAGGTCCCAGAAAGCAACGCGTTTAGAAAATATATGGCATGGGTACACGACTTAAGTTTTGGAGACACATTTGGAGTGATGTGTGTAAAGTTCTATTATATTATATTTATTATAACGAATTATAACGAAATTGATTAAATTCTATATTTTAAAGCTCAATAAACATGTAGAATATGAAACATAGGTTTTAATTTATGTTTCGTCTCTTTTTTCGATTTGAATAAAAAAATACTACTTTCTTCTGATTTGTATATCTTATTTAATTTAATTTAATTTTTATCACTTATTTAACTTGAAAGACTGGAAGTGCCTCTTAAAGAGCTTCGAAAGTAGTGAGGTGCTACTAATATTATTATGAACATAGCTATATGTACATACATATGTATGTACATATGCAACCTTATGTTTTTTTTTTTATAATTCTACGTTTTTTCTACATCTGCCATCTGAAAAATTTCTTCCCCAACAATGATGTCAATAAATGTGAGTGAAACGACAATGGAGTGTGCTGATTAACCCTTTGATGGCATGGGGTTTAGAAATCCCATTGCAAGAAAAGGAGTTGCAGAATTGTTTCTTATTTCGGTTTTTAAATAGTTTACTACTTGAAATTATATATGTTATCTTAGGCTCTTAATTCTAAAATACATTTGCAACTTTCTTGCTGCAAAAAATGAAATATCATATCTTGCTTAGGGTTAATATATGAACAAAAGTGTGTCTGCGCCCAACCTTCCGCGTCGACAAGCAAACAAGCACTGAACGCAGACCTTATATGAATGCTTCATGGCATGAGTCTTCACACAACTTTTGGTGACTAGTTTTTATAGTCGCTGAGAACGAGGCGTCAAACAAGACGGACGCACGGACTGACATGGCTATTGATGCTGTTCAAGAATATATATATACGTTATGGAGTCTAACACGTTTCCTTCTGTGCATTACATATTTCCAATTTCGAGCACAAATACAATATACCCTATTTTCTCTTTGAGTACCGTGTATAAAACGTCGGTTTGGTTCGATGCTCAAACAAACAATATCAATTTTGTTGAGTAGTGTTTTTCATGGCATAGCCAGGTACGGCTTCAGATGATCAAATCACAGACCTGTTGAAATTCCCTTATTGTTAAAAATATCCTTAACATACATACATCGGTTAAAAATGATATCACGAACATTTTACATATAACTTTTGGTGCTGATTATAAATGTATGTAACATACATACAGTAAGCACACATATTATTCGTACACCACACATTACCTTAGTTTGAACACCTATAACTTGGCGTACTGTCAACTTATAAAGAAAAAGTTAATTTTGTATCGAAGATAAAAAAAAAAAGAAGATGAAAAAAGATTTTAATTTTCTTCTATGGTATCCTTAATAAAATGAACTTAAGCAAAAAATACCTTTTTTTCGCACTTAAATGATTTGTAAAGCCGTCCGATTCCGTAAGTAAAGTTCAAATATTAAAGGTAACATGTACAATGAATATTTTTGTTTGCTATATTTAGATTTTATGATGACTAAAAGAACTAGAAAAAAAATCTTTCCGCCAAGGAATGAATTAATATTGACGCCCTCCACAATCAGTTCCGGTTGCAAGAATAAACTTTTGATAAACTTTTGAGCTTTCGTATCCTTTTTTAAAAATTTTTCTCACAGGCTTCATGGAACTGAAGTTAATTAACCGTAGTGAATTTTTCAGCTAGTTGCAGTTTTAAATGAGCCAGATTTAATCTAAAAAAGATAAATTTATGTGTCAAATTTTTTGGCTGGGTCAAGTTTGACTTCGAATTATTAACAAATGGGATGACACAAGGATGCCAATTGTTACTCAAAATATAGTTTAATAAACCCCTTTTCATATTTCCATTAAATAAGACCACTCGTAAAGATGCAGTTCAAAAACAATGCTGGTGAAAGGCACACTCTGAAATGCCATACAGCAGGGACCACCATTTTCTCATCATAGGCTACATTTATTTTCGCAAGGCCATCGAATCAAAAATATGTCTTAGATGGACTCTCTAGTCAAATCAGATTCTCTAGAAATGAATCTGGCTATGGGTTTCTCCATAAGTCTTCCGGAAAATAAATTTAACATATCTTGAGAAAAATCGTATGGGTCATGGTAGGGTGCCTGTGTAGGATTTTAACTGGAGTTTTACGAACGGTATTTTTTAAAGGAAATATGATCAAGGAAGTACTAAACTTTATTTTGAGTAACAATTGGCATTATTGCGTCATTCCATTTGGTAATAATTCGAAGTCAAACTTGACCCAGCCAAAAAAATGACACACAAATTTATCTTTTTTTTTTATCAAATCTGGCTCATTCAAAATTGCAACTAGCTGAAGAAATTCTTGCAACCGGTACTCCTTGTGGAGGGGGTCAATATTAATTCATGGGGCTCCAATACCATGGGCGAAAATTGTTTCTAGTTCTTTTAGTCATCATAAAGACTAAATATAGCAAACAAAAATTTGCATTGTACATGTTACCTTTAATATTTGAATTTTACTTAAAGAATTGGACGGCTGTACAATTAATTTATGTGCGAAATAAAAAAAAAATAAGGATACCATAGAAGAAAATTAACAACTTTCTTCATAAACAGATCATATCTTCGATACGAAATTAAATTTTTCTGTTTACGTTGACCGTACGCCAAGGTGCTCAAACTAGGTTGATGATGGTGTACGAATAATATGTGTGCTTACTGTATGTACATATATACCCATATCACCGCGAACTGTTTAAAAAAATAACGAATAACTGGACTCAAATCTTAATAAAGTACATAATGTATGTAGGTACATACATACATATATATGTATGATTGTTCAACTTACCTATGTATTTTATGCATGTGTACTAGGTACATGTGGAACATAACATATACATATGTATATATATATTCTCGTTGTCAGAATAACATAATAATAAAAATGTTAACTTTTAACTTAAAGTTTTAAAAAGCCATGTGTCAATTAATAAAAAAAATGTGTGCAAAAAAAATAATGTCTATGTAAATACATATGTATTTTTATACATATGTACGTATGTTCAAATATTTGTCGACGTGTTTGTACGCTAACGCAAAAGCGGGCAAAGCACAAAGCTGCTCTTTGTTAGCCTCTAACAACTTTCATACCAATCGCCACGGTAAGTTTTTTTTCAACATCAGTACAAAGCTTTAACTCTCGAAACTCCGCACACCCCACGTAACTATAAGTAGTGGTATGAGAGGTCTGCTGGTCTCAATTTGTTTTTAACTTTCGCTGCAAACGGACAGATGTTTTGCTGATTTCTAGTGTTACTTCTCTTAATATAATTGTTTGTTATGAACGAATTGGTCTTTGGACTGCTAATATAAAATCGTGACTTAAGTTTCAGAAGTTAAGATCATTAGTTCGTTTCGTTCATTAGAATGAATGCACATCTTTCTCTTATTTTGGCTATTGCCATAACAACCATTGTAGTCCCTTTAACTGCTGGGGCTGACCAAAAAGGGACAGCAGATAGTGATGGTGAAATACGAATTTATAAACGCCTTATTCCGGCTGATGTACTCAGAGGTGAGTTAGTCCATTAAGCATAGTGCAAGAGTTGTATTTAATCATGTTTGAAACACGCGTACCGAAAATGATAGCATCAGTTAGTTTATGGTACTATTACCTGACCAGTGTTGATTCATACACTTGCAGAACAGCTCTTCGACGTTAAAAATCAGAAAGCTTTAACCTCGTGTGTATTTGTATATGTATGTATTTATTTTTATTTATAATCCTGCTTTACTCTTTAGTGCAAGGTCATTTTAATTTTGTTTAAATACTTCATATTGCAACTGTATAAGCCGCAGAACTCGGATGCGAAAACCATTTATGAGTCTACAAATGTTATCCGTACATACATATGTACGTATGCAGTTTTTTAGACTATTGGGATATGTTTAAGTTTGTATGTACATAGTACATATGTACAGGCGAAAAATTGTCGATTCGAAAATGTTACAAATGAAATGGCATACATTTCTGTGAACAAGGAATCTTCAGAATTACGTTACTTCCAAATACTTACTTACATAAAATGATATTCTCACAGAATGTAAGAAGACTTTTCTTCAAAGGGAACAAAATACAAATGCAACTTACTGGTACAATAGGTTTACGATGAATATTCAGCATTTTTCACCATTTTTTTTCTCGCAATCGAATATATGTATGTACATAATGTATCAAGAGATTTTGATTATTTGCTTACAGATTTTCCGGGAATGTGCTTTGCTTCCACACGTTGTGCTACCGTTGAGCCCGGTAAATCATGGGACTTGACTCCGTTCTGCGGTCGTTCCACCTGTGTGCAAAACGAAGAGAATAAGACAAAGTAATATTTTAACTCAGTTGCTTTACATTATCATTATCTATCATTATATATCTATTCACAGACTTCTGGAGCTTGTTGAGGATTGCGGGCCGCTGCCATTGGCAAATGACAAATGTAAATTGGACACATCAAAGACCAACAAAACCGCTTCTTTCCCGTATTGCTGTCCTATATTTACATGTGAGGCGGGAATCACGTTGGAATACCCTGAGATTGAAAAGGAGGATGCCAAGAAGAGTGATGTATAAATTTGAACTTATATTTGAGTTATGATTGGTATCCCGAGTATTTAAATATGTGTTTTATTTGGGTCAGATAAATCGGAAGATTCTATTAGAAAAGTTGAATAAGAAATAAAGTTAAAGGCCAAATAAAAGTGGTCCCACTGCAAATGTTTTAAATTAATTGTGTGACGAACATTAAATTAAGTTAACATAACTAAGTGAACATTTTCAAAACATTAAATTAAACTTTATTATTTTCATAAATTTCTTAAGTAGATGGCGGAGAATGAACGGCCACTGCCCTAATGTGAGGATGCAGGGGTTGCTAGATCCGCGGCGATTGGAGAGGTATAACCTGGCGACAGGCTTGATGCGGCCTGATGGGAGGATGTCCCCAACATGCCGAGAGTCCAAGTAAACCCGCTGAACCGGAGAAAATCCTAACGATTCTGTGGGTCTGCGGCCCACGCTTCCTACAGACAATTGAAAGATGGCCTCCTCGGCAAAACGGGCGGAGTAGTGAGATACGGAAGGTGACCGAAGGCATCTACAAGTCAGTCCCGAAGGGTACGCCAGCCGAGATCGAGTGGAACCGGAGATAGACAATGTAACGGGAGGCTTAACCTCGAACATCCGTCCAGAGGCCTCGGAGACATCGATATCGGAGATGAGGAGGAGTCTCCGGAGAGCGTCCTGAAATTGGTGGAGGGGAGTCTCAGGAAGGTCACTGACAATCCTGCAGATAAACCTCCACCATTGTAAGGAAGCATGTGTTCCTCTTCTAGCCAAGGGTGAATCCCTGAATCCCTGAAAGGCCTGAATCCGTGACGGACAAGACTAAAAGCTATACTTAGCAGGAGAACTAGAGTTTCAACTTGCTTGAGCTCCCAAATTTCAGTAATGACGACCACAAATCAGAAAGCCTCGAAGGCCAGGAGTGCTCTCTGAGGATTTTGATTTAGAATTTAGATTTAGATTTTCTATATCCGAAAAATGTTTTTTGTACCCGGTACTTGAAGAGTAAATAAGGTAATTTGTTTTTGTGGTGGAATGTGCATGTAAGTAACGCACAGAAGGAAACGTTTCCGACCCCACAAAGTATATATATGTATTCTTGATCGGCATCAACTGCCGGTTCTATATATGTCTGTCTGTCCTTCTGACTGTCTGTCCGTCTTGCTTGACGCCTCGTTCTCCAAGAGACTACAAGATCTAGAGTCACTAAATTTTGTGTAAATTGTGATATCACACTGAATAAAGTTTGTCTTAAAATCTCGCACTGCCTAATTATAGCTTAGTATTCAGATCGAAAAAGGGGCCGCTAGAAAAATCAGGGATGATATTCGTATGGAACCGATAAGAAATTTTGCGCACACAAGTTACTTTCTAGCGGTTGTACGTAGATTGACAAAAAAAAAAGGCCGATTAAATCTAGAAAGTGGTATTGTGTGGTATTCGTTGGTATTTTGCTAGCAGCTCGACAAATATAGATTTGTTTTAGATTCCGAGAGGGTACCTAGCTAACAGAGTAAAGTCTCAATCAAATGGAGGCAACAATTACTCTGAAGTTGAAAGAAAATGACCACAGTGCTTCTAAACGAGCTTAAGGCCATCAAACGGCAAAGAAAGGAAACAATTATTATAGATTAATGAGATTATATTGAATGTATTTGCATTTATAATTTTTTTAACTTATTTGAACGTCAGTTGCTTAATGTTGCCAAGACACAGACCGGGCTAGGGTGTTAACAAAATGTTTTAAGTTGTTTTCCTTTTTGGACCAAGTACTGCTCCACAGGGTCGTGCCGTGGAGGGGCGAAGGCGGCGATTTTGGCTCAAAACTATCCAACTTTGAATAGGAAGGATGCTTGGTGGCGCATTTTTACCACTTTGCCACTGGCGAAAATATTCCTTGGCACGGCCTTGCTGCTCCATATGCAAATTCTCTGTCATATCGTTTCATGGGTTTCCATAAATGTACGCATATTTATATTATTTATAATACTCAAATGTATGGACAAACAACTGTCCAGTTTTTTTTCGTGCAGATATGGGTTTAATCAAAGTTGTCGGCGGCTATTTCGTTGGTTGTCCTCCTCCTTCGATCATGCAAGAGCCGCCCATCCCACTAAAAGCAATCTCCTGCATGAATCCCTTTTTCAATCATTGTTTTATTAAACTTTTTTTCAATTTGCACACATTTTCAAAAAGGTAAACAAAACAACACAGCTGCCTGAGAAGTGTAGAAGTCTGCTGCTAGCAAAATATATTGCACAGTTAGCTAGCAAGCGTGTTTTTCGATCTGAGTACTAGGCTTAAGATTACATATGTACATATATACTGACTCTTTGCCGGGTATAAACGCTGTGACGCGTACGAAGCGTCTCACAAACGGTCCTACTCGTTTGTATTTCTGTAGCCCAGTGCTCAGGTGCGCTACATTTTCGGTCGACATACAATTTAGCAAGCTGGCTGCTTCCAGTTGAGTACTCAGTTCAGCGGAGAAAATACCAGAAAACAAACCGATTAAATACTACATCTCGAAGCGAAAAAAATAATATTTCTGCCTTCGGTTAACAGAAACATATACGCATATGTGTGTGTCTCACACACACACATATTCAAAAGTTAAAGGAAAAAAGCGAATCAAGCGCACAACGGGAAGAATATACCACTGATGAAGACAATTTTAATCTTATTCATGCATTCGAGCGTACATGGAGATTTCTGTCCGCCGGAACGGACACATAATGCGGTGCTTTCTCCATGCATTGCTGTCCTCAAGTCTCCATATCCACTCTGAAATAATTTTCATGCAACAGTTGAATTTTCTACGTATTACGTATTTCATTTTGCATCAATAGCCAAGTCGATAGAGCCATGTCTGTCTGTCCGTCTTGTTTGTCTTCTAGTTCTCAGAGACTATTAGAGCTAGTGCCACCGAATTTTGCTACCATACTTTTGTATGCTCACACTGAAAGCAGTGTATTTAAAAAATTTGACTCGCCCACAGCCACAAATTTGAAGCTAAAAGAAAACGAAAAACGCCATATCTGTCATAACCGTATGAAACTGTCATGACCATATCTATCAGATCACTGAATCTAAATAAAATAAAAACAATAAGGGACAGATGTCTTACTGAGTACTGCGCATGGTAAAATTAGTAAGAGGTGACGTCGTCAGCTTTGTGGAGGACCACCAGCTATTCACCAAGCTTGCTCAGCTTTAAAAAACGCAAGAGCTAGAGAGAGATAGCAAACGTTTATAAGTAATTTCACCACCCAACTGGTGGGCCTCGAATGAGAAGGCACTGTGGTGAATCCACAGTCTGAGAAAATGGTCTAAAATTGAATCTGGAATATGATTATCTAGAAGGAGGCAGTCTCCTGGCATAAGACTAATTAAACCTGTATAACCTTTGTATAAAAACACTTACATACATAATTTGATGTGCGGTCAGGGGCAAGCAGTGAGAAAAAAGCTTGCCGCTTTGGTGGGCTCGCAACAGTAGTTTTGTCAAACTGGTTCGGTATCAGTGATGGAATATCCGGATTAATGAGGATGTGTTAGCTACGATTCTCTACAGCCGAGACTACGAGACTCTACATTCAATTCGAGATGATCAATTCGGTTACCGAATCTGCATCACCAGCAGCAGTCTTTGTAATGAGGTTGCAAACGATATCAGCAGCAACCCTGATGTAACTTTTTCAGATGCTTGAGATTTTTGTCCTCGGTTTTCATCATAATAATTATAACGAGAAGGGACGTTTGAGACGCTTTTTACGCGTCACAACTTTTATACCCGGCACTCAGGACTACATCTGCACCTTAGCGGTTATTTGTCAAATTTTATATTTTTTCTTCATCTGTCATCTACATCTACAACACTTCCCACACCAACACGCTCCGTTAGCTCGCCGCCCTTCCCTAGACCCACACACTCCAGACTCGAGGCAGAGGCACCGTCCGCACACAAAAAAAAAAAACAAATAAAAGCTGCGGGACGGGGTGGGCTAAAAGTCGGAAGAGGTATCGGCAGGGGGAGTGCAGAGGCAGGGGCCGAGTGAAGCAGAAGCAGAGTGTGAATGAGAGAATGTAAAATGAACAACAAAAGCTGAGGGATGCCACTGGAAATTAATTTCTTCATTGTGGCTATAATAATGATCCAATCGGATCAATTTGGAGATCTGATAGATATGGCCATTCTCTACGGAATGGCGTTTTTAGTTTTCTTTTATCTTTAAAACTAGATTTGGGAGGGTTTCGCCCTTTTGCGGAGGAGGAAGGGGGCGTGGCTCATTTTTGAAATACACTGGAGCCAACATTTGGTGGCTCTAGCTCTTATAGTCTCTGAGAACTAGCCGACAAACAAGACGGACAGACGGACGGACGGACAGACAGACATGGCTCTATCGACTCGTCTATTGATGCTGATCAAGAATATATATACTTTTTGGGGTCGGAAACGTTTCCTTCTGTACGTTACATACAACCGTTATTCCCCACAAAAACAATATACCCTATTTACTCTTCGAGTACCGGGTATAAAAAGGGGAACAAAGCATTAATTCGAAGTTTACTGTTATGCATTCTTAAAACAACCCATGGCACTTTGAGAAGAAAATTCATATAAATACATACATACACATGTACATACATATGTATATAAAGAATATCATTGCGTGACGATCTGGAAAAGCTATTTGGCGAGTGGAAAAATTAAAAAAAAAACATTAATAACTGATGACTCTTTCAGATGTCCTTTGATCTTTGTGCTTAATTTTACAATGAATATGACATTATGACAACGAATAGGACATTAGGCTAAACACAATGTAAACACTTGCAAGCTAAAATAAAAAACAGCATTAGCGTTCTAAATATGGATACATATGTACATATGTATGTTTTTATGAACGTTAAACTGTTAGCTCTAATTTTTCTGGTATCGGTTCTGAAAGGTTTTCGCAATGAATGTAGAATTATAGAGAAGTTGAAAATAAAAAAAGAGGTAATTCTAAACAAGGCTTACCGACTTGCAAAAAGACAACTTACTTACAAATTTATAAAAGCTGTCAAATCCCCCTAGACATTTTATTTTATTGTTGTATGTACATTTGTATGTATTACATATATTTATGTATATGATGTATATGTATATACATACATATGAAC